TAGAAACTACCTAGGCTGGTGGTGGGTCCCCCTCCTCTCCCTAGATCAGAAACTAAAGGCTCACGTGACCAGACCCGCCAAAAAACAACTGCCAGGCACCACCAGCCCCTCCTTCTGGAATCTGCAAATACTGCCGGCCCCTCCCATTTCTTAAGAACAGACAATGGCCACAGTGGAAAATCCCCAGCTCTTCCTGCCAAAAGTCTCCAGCCTGCCTCAGATAGTATAAGAGCCCGCACCCCTTTCAAATGGGCGTGACTTCTCTGGCCCCTCTCTCGGGACCCATGAATCTCACCCAGGAGCACTCAATAAAGCCATGTTGTTTGGCCCCACTCTGTCTGTCTTTTCCTTTCGCCACTGCCAAAAACTTTACACTACCAAACCATTTTCTACATTGGCTACACCATTTTACACTCCCACCAGCCACGCACAAGGGTTCCATGCTCTCCACATCCTCTCCCACACTTGTTCTTCTCTTCCTGTTCATGTTGTTTTATAATGGCCAACCTAATGGGCATGATTTGATCATCTCACATTCCTTTTGTCCTTGATCCTTCCATTAAAAGGTAATAAACCAAGATAATTTTGTGTGGTGGTAGTATGACAACTAAAATGTGGTGTCCACCAGTGTCTGTGTGACCAGAACAGTATTCTGTGGAAAGGACCCAGTCCATGGCTTCCAGGTGGTGACCAGCCGGGAAGGAGCAGAGCCCACAGCATTGCCGGAAGCGGCTGGGAAGAGCAGGTTGCTCGATGGGGCAACCACCTGGTAACCTGGGAAACGCCTAGGTGGGTGAATGTGAAACAAGCCCCTTATTACCCAAATTCACCTAGAGAGGGGGAGGAGAAGCTGATATTTAGTAGCTATATGCACATATATTTACATATGTTTTAATATATAATACTACATTTAAAACTATTAAATATGATTTTACTTGAAATTCACAGGAAAAACAATTGAAGATGAAAGAATTGCTTAACTTTATATATAAAATTTTCCTCAAAAGAAGAACTATAGTTTTTAAAAACATCCCTTCAAAGCTAAACAGTTAAAACAAAAACACAACGGGTTTGTGTAAGTACATGGGTTTTTGTACCTTTCGCTCGCACTAGTACCAAGGAGTTTATAATGACAAATAGCAGTTCCCTTTCCTAACTTTACCTGCTCTCCAGAGGCAATCGTTTTCAACTCTTTATAGTTGTTTATTTTCATTTTTATCTACATATTTTAAAATTATATTCTTATACTTTTATTTATTGGTTTATTAATTTGAGACATCCAAAATGTCCTATTATGGAAAATAAAGACTTAGACGCTTCAAACTCGCCCTACATATACTTCTCTCCCCATGTATTACAAATACTTCTCTACAGTTTTTAGTAAAATGAATGGTCTGTATTTATAAAGACTTACTTTGACTATGAAATATTGTTCGCTGCTGAGTCAAGTCATGTAAAATGATTATGCGTCTCTTCTTGTACATTTTGTTTTTTCTTGAAGTCAATAATTACTGTTTTTTATTTGATTAGTTTTCTATGTACATATGGCTAATTTTTCCATGTGCTCCCATAGCTGTACATCTGTCAACGGTACTTTTTGTTTTCCCTCTAGAGACTTCTTTCTCCGGGTCCTCCTCCTTCTTGCTCCACCCAGGCCTGCTACCTGGCTGTGCGTGGGGAACTCTCCCCCCCGGTAGCTGGAGTCTCATTGTCTAGACGCCACGTCTTTCCTTAGTTTGTTCTCTCGCTTTGCAGATGCACAGAATTCTCTAGTAACTTCCTAAGAAGGCGTACATAGTGGGTAAATATTTTAATCTTCGCACAAGTGAAAAAGCTTTTATGAATTTGAGTAATTATCAAAATAACAATTTGGATGGAAAATTCTGGGTTGAAATCATTTTTCTTCCAACTTTTGAAGGCATTTTCCTTCTTTCTTCCTGTGGTGTTAGTAAGAAATCTAATTTGGATCCAAATGTTTGGTATAAAAAATTTTTGTTTTCTCTCTAGAAACATGTAAGATTTTTTTCTTTGTTTTTAGTTATTTTGAAATTCCTTGAGGAAATGGTTCTTTTTTTATCCATCAGTTGGATACTCAGTGGGCATTTCAGAAGACATGTTCTTCAGTTCTGGGAATTTAAAAAATATTGTTTTCAGTTTCTTATTTCCTCCCTCATCTTCTCCACTCTGTCTTCCTGGAATTCATATTAGTTGAGTATTGGACAATCTGAATTGATCCTCTAATCTTTTCATCTGTTTCTATTATTCTACCATTTTGTCTTTGTGGTCTTCTTTCTAGAAAATTCCTTGAAAATTCCTTCTTTCTAGAAAATTCCTTTCTAGAAAATTTTGAAAATTTCCTTTTATTTTTGTACAAAGTATGGGGTACATGTGAAGTTTCGTTACATGTGTAGAACGCATAGTGATCAAGTCAGGGTATTTAGGATGTCCATCACCCAAGTACAATACATTTTTGTTTAACTATAATCACCCTACTCTGCAATCCAACATTGCATTTATTCCTTCTATCTAACTGTATGTTTGTACCCTCTACCCCACTTCTTTTCACCCTTCCCCCATACCCACTTACTCTCCCCAGTCTCTGTTATCTATCTTTCCACTCTTTACCTCCATGTGATCAAATATTTTAGCTCTCACATGTAAGCAATAACATGTGATATTTGCCTTTTTGTGCCTGGCTTATTTCACTTATGATAATGACCTCCAGTTTCATCCACATTGCTGCACATAACATGATTTCATTCTTTTTTATGGCCAAATAGTATTCCATTGTGTATGTGCACCACATTTTCTTTAACCATTCATCCTTTGATGGACACTTAGGTTGATTCCATATCTTTGCTGCTATGAATAGTGCTGCAACAAACATGTGAGTGCATGCATCCCTTTGATATAGTGATTTATGTTCCTATGAGTAGATACCCAGTAGTGGGATTGCTGGATTGAATGGTAGTTTTATTTTTATTTTTTTATTTTTTATTTTTTATTTTTTTTGAGACAGAGTCTCACTTTGTTGCCCAGGCTAGAGTGAGTGCCGTGGCGTCAGCCTGGCTCACAGCAACCTCAATCTCCGGGGCTCAGCGATCCTAGTGCCTCAGCCTCCCAAGTAGCTGGGACTACAAGCATGCACCACCATGCCTGGCTAATTTTTTGTATATATATTTTTAGTTGGTCAATTAATTTATTTCTATTTTTTGGTAGAGATGGGGTCTCGCTCAGGCTGGTTTCGAACTCCAGACCTTGAGCAATCTGCCCGCCTCGGCCTTCCAAAGTGCTAGGATTACAGGCGTGAGCCACCACGCCCGGCCTAGTTTTATTTTTAGTTTGTGAGAAATCATCATGCTGTTTTCCATAGTGGCTGTACTAGCCTACATTCCCACCAACGGTGTATAAAAGCTCACTTTTCTCTGCATCCTCACCAATATCCATTTTTTTTTTTTTGTCTTTTTAATAATAGCCATTCTGACTGGGGTAAGATGATGTCTCATTGTGGTTTTAATTTGCATTTCTCTCATGGTGAAATGCAATTCACCATTGCACTAATGCAATTCTTGCATTAGTGATGGTGAGCATTTTTCCATTTTGGGGGAAATGTCTATTCATGTCTTTTGCCCACTTTTATTGGGATTTTTTTTTTCCTGTTGAGTTGTGTGAGTTCCTTGTATATTCTGGATATCCGTCCCCTTTCAGATGAATAGTTTGCAAATATTTTCTCCCATTCAACAGATTGTCTCTTCACTCTGCTGATTATTTCTTTTGCATTGCAGAAGCTTTTTAGTTTAATATAGTCCCATTTGTCTATTTTTGTTTTTGTTGCCTGTGTTTTTGAGGTCTTAGTCATATATTCTTTGCCTAGACCAATGTCTAGGAGAGTTTACCCTAGGATTTCTTCTACTATTTTTATATTTTCAGGTCTTATGTTTAAGTCTTAAATCTATCATGAGTTGATTTCTGTATATGTTAAGAGACAGGGATCTAGTTTCATTCTTCTGCATGTGACTATCCAATCTTTATCTGTGTAATTTTTTAATGAATGTTTTGTTTTCATACATACACCCCCAGGAGTGGCTTGATCATTTAGCCAGGAAGTGAGGACTGTCTTTGTGATGGTTAATATTAGGTGTCAACTTGAATGGATTAAGGGAGACCTAGATAGCTGGTAAAGCATTACTTCTGGGTGTATCAGTGAGAGTGTTTCTGGAGGAGACTGGCACGAGTTGGAGGACTGAGTGGGGAAGATCTGCCCTCAGTGTGGGTGGGCACCATCCAATTGGCTGGCCCTGACAGAACAGAAAGGCAGAGGAAAGGCAAATTTGCTCTTTCCCTCTCCTGGACCTGGAGCACCCTTCTTCTCTGCCCTTGGACATCATAACTCCAGGTCCTCTGGCCTTGGCACTCCAGGACTGGCACCACTGCCCTCCACCCACTGCCCAGTTCTCAGGACTCTGGCCTCTGACCGAGTGACACCACTGGCTTCTCTTGTGTTGAGGCCTTCAGACTTGGATTGAGCCATGTTCTTCCCTCCTCTGGTTCTCCAGCTTGCAGACAACTTACCATAGGACTTCTCAGCCTCCGTGATCACAGGAGCCAATTGCCACACACACACAAAAAGCCCCTTTTATATATCTATGAACAGTCATGCATCACTAATGATGCCGATACATTCTGAGAAGTGCATCATTAGGCGATTTTGTCACCATGCTGTCATGCAGTGCACTTACACAGGCCTCGATGGTACAGCTACTGCACGCCTAGACTATTTGGTACGGCCTATTATTGCTCCTAGGCAACAAACCTGCACAGCACGTTACTGGGCTGAATACTGTAGGCAACTGTAACACAGTGGTAAGTATTTGTGCATCTAAATGTATCTAAATATAGAAAAGGACCAGCAAAAATATGTATAAAAGGTATAAAAATGGTACACCTGTAAGTGTGCAGTAATGTCCTAGGCATTCACATCCACTCACTCCCTGACTCACCAGAGCAACTTCCAGTCCTGCAAGTCCATCATTGACCCAAATGTTGTTATTTGGCGCATGACTCTGTGTGTGTGTCCTGTTGATTCTGCGACTCTGCAGAACCCTGACCAATACGGTCACACCTAGAGCAGCAGCATCCAGCAAACCCTGTACAGAAGACATTAAGGAGGCAGATTTGGGGGGCGCAGGTGGCAAACTGAGTATAGGGGGTCAAGGGCAGGAGACAGTGACTCTCACAAGTCCAGCCTGGGTGCCTTGATGGCTCTGAGAACAGGAAAGACGAGGAAAAGAGAAGGAGGCATGAGAGTAGAGGCAAGATAAGTTAAGAAAAGTTGGGTGGCTGACGAGGTAGGACTGCCAAGGAAGATGACTCGGTGAGAACAAGCTGAGTGCGGAGAAGGGCAGACAAAGACAGAGCCCAGGAAGCGACTCTCACAGGGCTGAGAAGACGCAGCACCAGAGGCAGGACAGGAACCAGGAGTGGCGCAGAGCAGAAGCCAATGGAGGGAGGGAGCGCCCTGCGCCGCGTGCCTCCGAGACGCTGGGGTCCCGTGGCCCACGATTCCCCGGGGCAGTCGGCTGTCTGCCTATGGTCTCAATGTAACAATTTATAGTAGCTCTTCTCTCTCGAAAACTCTGTGCTCGCCCTAATTGGCATCTGCAAGCCATCGCAGTGGCCATGTGCAAACCAGAAGAGGCCCTCATAAACAACCAAACTCAACCAGATCTCGATCTCAGACTTCCAGCCTCCAGACTGTGAGAAAATTAATCTCTGTTGTTTAAGCCTCCCAGTCTGCGGTATTTTGTTATGACAGCCCAGCAGGCTAAGGCAAATGGGAAGGGAGGGAACAGAAGGAACAATTTAGACACATCTATTAATCTAAGGGGCAAGATGTTGGTCAGAAGAAGTTCATCCAGGCAGTCTCGACTCCCAGGAAATAGAAGCCAATCCCATCTGTGGAAAATGAGTGGGAGATGGGAGATCAGGAATTTGAGAGGACACGTGGCCATCAAGGAGTGCCTCTGAGAGCCGTGGGTGCGGGAAACAACGTGGGACATGCAGGGATCTGGAGAGGGCTGGCAACCTCGGGAGCCTGGGGCACAGTGAGCTGGGACTGCAGGGCACGACTAACCAGGGATGGCCCTCCCAGTGCCTCTTGGAGCCCGTAGACACAGAGTGTGGAGGCTGGGTGGGCCTGGGATATTCTCATTTCCTCGAGTCCACGTGCATGCTGGGCAGCCTCTCTGTGTAATGTAAGCAAGTAGATAGGATCTAAGTGTTGTGGGTTTTACCCTGGACTGGCAGGTTGTCCCCAAGTGAAGGTCAATGGTGAGAACCCTTAGCTTGCTAAGGACAGGGAAGCAGGGACCAACTCTGGGCCCACTGGAGGGGGTCACTCTTGTAGTGGGGCTCTACCCCTGAGTATTAAGTCTGGACTTCCTACAAGGGGTACCAGGAAGAGAGGTTATGCCATCTCTCAGCATGAGAGGAAATCTGGTCCCTCCCAGATGGGTGGGGATAATGGGGACAAAGGGGAGGGTGAGGGGGGCTCTGTAGGGACTCCAAAAGGTGATGCCAAAGCCAAGAAATGGAATCCCCTAAACAGTTTGGAAAGCACTATCTCCTGCTGTTTGATTTTGTGACCCCATGTTCATCTCTGGCTCCCCTTAAGAAATGCTGTGTGTAATTCAGTATTTTTTATGCTTCTTAAATGGATTAGATTAAATGAAAATTAATGTCATTTTGAGATTTGGGAGAGAATTTTATGACCTCCCACTGGGCACCAAAAACCCAGAGCAGGCCTCTCTACTGGACAGACACATGTGCTGGCTAAGAACACCTGGGTTTGAATTCTCATGTGACCATGTCCAGCTGGGTGACCTTGAAAGAATGGTTTAATGTCTCTGCAAGCCTTGTTTCCTCATCTGCACAATGGGGGCAATAACTGTTGATATGAGAATTAAATCGGCTTGTGCTGGGAAGGACCCTGCAGAGTATAGTAAAAAATAAGAGCTCAATAAGGAAGCCTTTATCATCATCATCATCATCATCATCATCATCATCATCATCATCATTTAGTTGCTAATGTTAAGAATAATAAAAACTTTAAAAGCAATCCACAAATACTTCTTCAGAAAATTAGGAAGTTATCTTTCAGATACACAAAGAAAACCCCAGGGCCCCTCTTCTGAAGAGTCCAATAGCCAGCTCCCCAGGGGAGCCTCACAGGCCCTCCCAAGATTCTGCTCACAGCGCCGCCACCGGCCTCGTCAGCCTCTGGACCCAGATGCACCACGGAATGGGGAGGGGCCCGCCACGTGGCTTCTATGTGCCAGACCCGGTACTTGGAGTTTTTGTGTGTCTGAGCTGTCGGCCGAGGAGGGATGGGGAGAGGAGGGGGAAAGACAGGAAGGGCGGGCGGAATAGCTCAAAGAACCCATTCCCCGCAGAAGTCTTTCCAGTTTGGAGACTGTTTCCGTCCATCCACTGACTCAGATGCCCTCTCACCAACCCCACTGCTCTGAGTCTAACACGAAATGAGCACCTATTCTTAGCCCTGCTAATGTGTCTCTCCTGAAACATGACAATGAGGCAGTGGTTCTCAATCAGGGGCAATTGACCCCCAGAGAACATCTGGCAAAGTCTGGAGACATTTTCTGTCAGGTCGGCAGGTTGGCATGGATGAAAAAGCCCTACCTTGAATGATTAATTTTCATTGCTTGACACATTTATGTACAATTTAGCAAGCAATGATGGCTTTCAAGATGTGACTCTTCATTGCTTGTTGCTATATCATCTTCATTCATTCATTCAACACACACTCTTTGGGCTCCCTCTTACACCATGACAGGCTCCAGGAATAAAGAATGAATAACTGTGTCTTCTCTGCCCGGAGAGTCATGACTTCCCTGCATGGCACACGCATGTGGGGTACTCCACCTTGTGCAGACGCTTTGAGGCCCTTACCTTGTTGTTCCCACCCTGGTCCTCCCACCCTCCCTGGCTCCCAGTATCCACGCCCTTGGAGCTGCCTCTTTCGAGTGCCAGTGACCGCCCCGGCCTGGCGCCATGTCAGAGGGTGCCTGGGAGCTGGCACAAGTCAGATCCCTGAGCACTCATTTTCACCTGGTCCCACCCAGCCCGTACACAGGCTCTTTTCTAGCCCTCTTTTCCTTTCAGATTGTCACGACCTCCAGATTCTCCCCTCCTATCTCTGCTTTCTCCTCTTCATCCTGACTCGGGCCCTCCTTACTCTGAAATCTCCAGACTTTTGGCCCCAAGACCTCAGGTGCTCCAAGCAACGGAGATAGTGGATCACAGAGCCACCAATCCCTCTAGTCAGTGCCCCTCAATTTAAAAAGTAGACGGTGAACTTGGTAGAAAGGAACAGAAGAGCCCAAACACCCCTTCCCATCAGGGGGCGTTAAGGCAGAAGAGAGAGGCCCTTTCTTCGGAAGCACTGGGCATTTCCCAGGACTTTTTTCTTATGTCCCTGGCACTCCGGTGGAGTTGGAAAAATCACAAGTGATGGGCTAGAAATGAGGGTTTCTGTTAGAGGCACCAGGCCCAGAAGGGTGGGGTAAGATGGAGCCGGTAGGGCCAGCATGACAGCCTGCACCTGCCAGCGTTATTGTCAAGGATTTATTAAGCTCCCTAGAGTCTGCTGTTAAAAGAGAAAAAGAGTTTAAGGAAGGGAATGGTTAAGTTAGCACCCTGTAACTCTAGGACTCATTTACATTAAGGAGGAAACCCATGATGACTACGGAGCCAGGACTCTGGCTGGTGCCTTTGCCTGAGGCGTAAGCTAACACTTGCATGGGTGGGTGGCCAGTGGAAGGGTCTGCACTTCATGCAGGCTGTCTTAATTGCCACCGTTTTTTATAAGCTCATCAGATGCCAGCACCACATTAGACTCTTCACATATATTAATTTGTAAATGAACCAACTTAATCCTCCTAAACACTACACTTACAAATGACGAGATAGAGTTTAATTGCCTCAGGAAAAAAACAGCCTTCTCTTTTCTAAAAGCTTTAAAGAAGTATTGGATTTTGACCCAAGAAAACCTGAATATTGGGCAGCAGAATTGGGTTAGAGGTACATTTAGGCAGAGATCGGAGTTCTAGACAGGATAAGAGTTGAAGACATCCATTAATCTAAAAGTAATTAAGATCCTGGATTCAAAAGTATTATAACTTGGGACAATTTGAGTTCAGTTCCTTTAACGAAGTGGTGTCTAACAGGCCTAAGCATTCACTGAATATTTTAGCCTGTAACATATTAAAAAGCCTATAACTTGAAAGTAAGAAGACTGGGCGGCTGGTTGTGGTGGCTCACACCTGTAATCCCAGCATCTGGGGAGGCCAGAGTGGGGGGATCAAGTGAGGCCAAGAGTTTGAGACCAGCCTGGGCAACATAGCAAGGCACTGTCTCTACAAAAAATAAAAAAATTAGCCAGGCATGGCGGGACACATCTGTAGTCCTAGCTACTAGGGAGGCTAAGTCAAGAGGATTGCTAGAGCCCAGGAGTTCGAGGTTACAGTGAGCTGTGATCAGGCCACTGTACTCCAGCCTGGACAAGAGCATGATATCTTGTATCTTAAAAGGAAAAAAAAGGAGGGGGGGGGTATGAGAAGATCCGAGTTCAAATCCTGCTTCTACCACTACCATATTTTCAGGACTAGATTTAAGACAGTGCTCTTACAGTTAGGTGTACCTAACAATCATTTGGGAAACTTGTTTCAAATACAGCCCCCCAGCCCAAAATGAACAAAAAGAAGTCTCACTGCTCAGGCTCAAAGGGTGTGTAGGGGGGGCGTGTCTGTGGCCAGGAGGAACAGATGTGTCAGTAAATAATTACAATAATGTTCCAGGTAAAAGTTCTCACGAGCCACATGGGGGTAGGAGCAGCAGAACAAGTGTGCTCAGTGTTTCTTATGGGGAGGGGAGCTCAGAAAACTGCCCCCTTTCGCCACACCACTTTTTGGTTTCCACTTGCAAGGGACCCTTCTGACACCTTCCTATATGGAGGGGGGAGTAGAATAAGCAATTTGGCCTCAATGACACCCCCCCATTAGGAAGATGCCTGTGATCTCCCTCAAGGGGGATCCCCAAATGAATAAAAATAATGTGAATACCCTTAAGTTCCAAAATCCAGTGTCTGACCACCTAGAGTTCAAACAAACAGAAAGAAAGCAGGATTTCAGAGGCTGGGAAATACTCCAGCCAAAGTAGGTCAGTTCCACTCCTGTTTATTAAAGGAATTCTCTGCCAAGAAGTGTGAGATACAACCTCAGGTCCGGGTAAGCCCATAAAGTAACCAGAGGACCACAGTTATACACAGGAAACCACCTTATAATAATAGAAGGTAGAACACGAGTGTG